TTGGCAGATGCATTCTTTACCACTGGGGCCATCTGGGAAACCCTAATCTCCTCATGGCCAGCATATATCCTCTTGTTTCTTAGGGAGTTCTATTTTATTATTTTTCCTCTGTGGCCCCACATTGATTTCCTTCCCAACAAAGAAAAGAGAAAGGGCACCCTTCAAGGCTCTGATTTAGTAATAATACAAATAGCAGCTACCAGTTTTCAAGCACTTACTATGTACCAGACTCCCTAGTAAGGAATTTCATAGATAGCACTTCATTTAACCCTCTCATTAATCCCTCATTAAATCCTCTGATGGGGCACTGTTATTTCCCCCATTTTGTAAATGAAGAAGCTGAGATTTACAAAGATTGGGTAACGCTGCTAGAGTCACAGAAGGAGTCATGCAACAGATGAAAACCCAGGTCCTACAGATTAAAAGCCTGGTTTCAAGCCCAGCTATTAACCACCACATGATACCATCCTCATTTGTACCCAGCTGAGCACTGTTCCTTTCCTGGAGGTGTCAGGATACAAAAGCCCAGACTTCCATGAGCCGGTTTTCTGTAACTCCACCCAGGCGACTCTATTCTTCCCCAGCAGTACAGCTCCAGAGATTAGTAAATCAGTGGATTTACTAGGGTTACACCATAAAAAAATTAGGGTTAATAAATCCACTGATTTGTGGGCACACTGGTTTGTGGGCCTTTTCTCTCCCTCCCCCTCCTTCCCTCCTTCCTTCTTTCTCTTTCTCTCTCTTTTCCTCCCTCCTTCTCCTTTTCTCCTTCTCTTCCTGTCTCCCTCTCTCTCTCCTTCTCTCTCTCCTTCTCATTTACTCTCAGTCATTCCTGGCTGTGACTCAAGGACCAGCCAGCACAAATCATGCTCCTCTCTGATATTCCAACCCCACATTTTTGGTCAACACTGATGGCCTGTTCCTCTGCTCCTCTGTGTCTATCTACAATGTGACTAAGGAAATAAAAAGTACTATGGGCCTATTAAACTCTCCCCATAAACTCTCTCTCATCTCCTAACCTTCCTACCTCCCCGAGACCCTTCAAGTGTTGGCATCATTTTAGCGCTACCTAGAAGCTGACATCCAGGAGGCTCTCAGGCACTCTCCTGCTCATCTCATTGAGTGGCTTAGGAACTTGGTCTGAAGGCCAAGTTAAATAAACTTCACTCTGGAAGTCTGCAGAGTGGTTCCACTTAAGAACTCAACTTTCCAGTTTAAGAAGCTTTGAAAGGACGCCTTGATTTTAACCTTAGAGATCAGTGCCTATCATTGCCAGTGCCAGATCACAGTTCCTAAATATCATTCCCCACAAAAGGAACCAGGATTGGAGAAATAGCTGGTTCCAGGACTTGTACATAAACAATCAAGGTGAGCTTGAAATACTGAGGGGGTGGGGGCAGTGCCAAGAAGCAAGGCAGTGCTCACAGAATGATGCAGTGAACTCATTTTAAAGGGACTCTGGCGGCCAATTCTGGGATAATTTAAGCACCAAAATAGGACGATAAGATTAAGGGGGAAAAAAATGAAAATTCATGAGCTCACAGTACAGAAAAAGAGAGAGAAGACAAATGTGGAAAAATTATAATAACAGGTGAATCCAGGTAAAGAATGAATGTAGTATTCTTTCAACTCTGTGTATTTAAAGCTTATCAAAATAAAAAGTTGAAGAAAGAAGAAATCATTCCTCTGAATATTCTGCAATTACTAAAGCAATCTTTCCTGGCCAGGAAAATGTGAAGAAAGTTTTCCCCTGGGTTCAGTGACCTCCAGCCCTTCTCCGCTTCTCTTGCTTAATGTAACGTCAATGGTTATGAACGAATCGATCACATAATGGATGCTAAGACTATAAAGAGTTGGGTTAAAACCATCTGTGACGAGCATTGTCAAGGACAGTGAGCAAATAAAGGTGCTACCACGTCTGCTGAGTACTGAAAGGTCTATAATTAAAATATAAACAAGTGTGATCCTTTCTGGCATTTGCCTGGCACTCCTTTCTTCTAAGGTTCTACGTGGCACTCAGGAAAAAGTGCCACAATGGTGTTCAGCAAGAAGCCCTCCTTCTCCAGAATTAAATGATCTGAAAGGATCACTTGGGCGCCATCTACTGGGCAAATGCTTGCACTGCCACATGGCTCCAGGACTGTGCCCCAGCCTGTACAGACCACCCACGTGTTCAGCTGCCCCTTCACAGAGGCAGGCAGCAGCCTGCCCAGCACCAGGCAGACAGTCAACAAATACTGAAATGAATGACTTCCGCCTGTGATTCCCCTTACATTTATTTAGTATGAGCTGTAGGTGATGAGAACCCAATAACATCATATTGATGTCTTCTTCCGGTCAAGTCCTGTTTCTACGAACGTATTGTAAACTCACGGAGGGTTCCCTGTTTCCTCTGGTGAGCTGCCTAGTGAACCATAAGAAATGCTCTCTTTGTGTATGTGGCTGTGATCAGGTAAACATACGCTGTATGGAATGAGGCTTTCACCATGGAATTGAACAAGCTTAACTGAACCAACACAGAATGGAATAGGAGTGTGATCATTGTTTTGTTCGTTTCATAGCATTGACCATATTCTTTTTGTCTTTCTTCTCTGAATTTCAGGTTCTAAAATGGCAGTGACTACATCTGTCTTGCTCATCATTGCACATAGAAGCATTCTTTCGAGAAATATTTTTTGGAATGCATTGTTGTTTGTTGTTCAGCTGCTAAATTGTGTCCAGCTCTTAGCAGCACCCTGGCTGCAGCACGCCAGGTTTCTCTGTCCTTCAATATTTTTTAATGGATGGGTAGACTTATTCATTACTTCCTTTTAATGAATGGGGGCATGCATGCTCCACTTTGCCTGCCTTGTGGTGGTGACCCATTGCCATGAGCCAATTCTGCTGTCCTTGAGCAAGTTTGATCCTACACCTGGACACCATCACCAATCCAGACCAAACAGACCTACACAGTCAGTGGTTAAACCGAGGCTAAACCCAAGACTCAACCAACAGGTACTATTTATTTGGACAGGATACAGCTACAGGATTTCTTTGGGAAAATGTAGTCCTCTGTCTTTGACTTCCTGCATGCAAATATTCTTCCCCTTCTCTGTCCTGTCCTCTAAAGAAACTCACTCACAGTGTTGAGGGTATTATTCAGGAAATATTTGTATCCTTTCCTTTGAGATGGAATATACTCTCATACTTGGCTGATCTGTGGCTCAGCCATGTGATGTCCTTAGAATATGAGTGAGTGTGATGAGAGCAGAGGCCATGAATGTGGCCGTGTGTTTGGCTTGACTGCCTGTGCTTCTGTGACCCACTCAAAGCAGATTACATCCCAAACTGCCGCTGTGGTCTGAGCTCCGAGCTCCAGAGTTCAACCCAGGCCAACCCAGCTGACACCAGTTAAACCCCAGCCAACTCACAGACACATGATAGAGAAAGATACACATCTATCCTTCTGAGGTTGACTCTTCTGCAGCAAAAACTGCCCAGTACATATGAACACACTATCACTACCACTTGTGAAGGCTTTAACTTAGAAATCTACTCTCGGACCTCAATACCTCTTTCATCTACGTGTTCCGTGGCTTTATTACCACTAAGCCTGCTTTTCCATCTCATCGGCACCTCCAATCTCTATTTTCTCTACCAGGTTCATTTTGGTTTTGTGTCTTGCCCACACTGGACCCCTGGACAGTCACATCTCTGCCAACTCTTAGGTCAACCACAGGACTGCTTTTATTCACCTCTGCCAGAGTTTGTGATGGACAGGGAGACCTGGCGTGCTGCGATTCATGGGATCGCAAAGAGTCGGACACGACTGAGCGACTGAACTGAACTGACCCTGCTGCTGGTGAGCATCACCCACCTGTGCAGGTTGCATCACCTACATATTAGTTCCAGCTTCCACTGGGTCCTCGGCCATGCTTCGGCATGCTCTGACTTTTTGGTAGCGGGCACATTTCCCCATTCATCAGGTGGCTCTCCCAAAATTTTGGTACTCTCAAGCCTCAGCTTCCCTTCTACTCTGCTATCATTAGAGAATTGCTATGCTGCTTTGCAGAGAAAACAGAGCTACAGGAATTCATCAATAGGAGGTAGGTGAGAACAAGGGGTCTGAAATCACACAGGCCCCTAAACCACACAGACTTAGGTGTCTTAGGTACTTTCCTTACCCTTTGCCCTATACTCTTGCGTTTTTGCTACATGTTTGATCAGGCAAGAAATACCAATAACACTCCATCCTCTATTTCTGTGGACTGGAAATATCGTTCGTAAGAGTAAAATTAATGAGACTCTAAAACCATCCTGATTGCTTCTAATTTAAATGGGGAATATGTAAAATAGGCTTAACAAAATAATAACAGTTTATACATTGCTCCAGATCCTGCCTCTCAGAGTGATATTCACCACTGGGTTGCTGCATGGGAGAATCTTAAACTGGGAGACAGTTTAGATTTCCACTCCATTTTCAAAGGATTATTGACACAGCAGGGAGCACTAATAAAGATTAAGCAATTCTTGGAGATCAAGCAGAACCCAGAAAGAATCCCTTTCCTGGGACAAATGGCATGCTGACAATTTGATGTGGGTTCCAAGAATTGAACTCAGGATTCAAGAAGTTTTCCAATAGGAATTCATATTTAAAATGCACTACAGACTTAGCATTTTTGAAGGCTTATTCACTACCAGCTGACCAATGACAGCACGCAGTTGCTTCTGGAATGGACATGAGGCATGCTTGTGTGCGGAGTGCCTTGGCTTCATTCAAGAGAGAGGGGAAGATTTAAGAGGATACAGAAACCTCCCGTGGCCAATTCCAAACAGATGTCCATAATCCACACCCAACAGAAGGAAACACATCTTTGTTTCTTATAGTCTTACCTAGAAAGTCTCCTGGTCACAAGTTTTCCAGAACTCAAATTGTCCAACAAGATAAACCTTAGTCCACGGCCAGGTGAGACTTTAAAGGAGCCTGCACTAGAGATGGGGCTAGGTCAGGGGCTACTCACGCATGCAGTCTCCTCCGTACCAGCCCGCACGGCACTCTGCACAGTAGATGCCCTTCACGTAGAAGTCGTCCAGGGTACCCCCCCAGGAGCCGTTTCGGCACGTCTTGCAGTTTTCAAAGATGGTGCAACCTGAAACATTGCCAAGCAGAAGGGTGTTCGATTAAGCACATGCAGGTTCTGATGGGCTGCACGAGAAACTGTGGACTTTGCCAGGATCTTGTCTTACCTAAGAGCATCTGGATTTAGAAAGGTGCCCTTAGGAAAAAATGCTCATCCCTAGGAAGATGCTAGAGTCACCAGCATTCAGACTGAGGAGTTTAGGGGATGGTCTGAACCATCTTCCAGGTTAGCAGCTGATGGCTTGTTTTAAAAAAATTTAGCTTTTGGTCTTCATTATGAACTTCAATTTTCAATAAAATACAATGCTATTTAAACTTATTTTTAATCATTACATTTTACAAAGCAAATAATATTGATGAAAATACCTCCAAATCGAAGACTGACAGCAAATGCTTACTATTACATTAAAACCAAACCTAAATTACATTGTTGTCTGTGCTGAAGGAGAAACCTCTTGCTGGTTGTAAATTTTTCACATCTTTTACAAGGATGTCCTATCTCATGTATCATCAGTAACCTGAAAAGTATTATGAGATACTGAAAATATTTAGTAATAACCTTCCAGATTGATTTCACATTTTGGTTTCAATTCATAATTTTTAAAAAAGTCAACATTGAGATAATTCAGATGCTATAAAATTTACTCTTTTAAAGTGTACAATTCAGTGGGTTTTAGCATATTCACAGAGTTGGGTAACCATCACCACTATCTAAATGTAGGATATTTCATCACCTCCCCCCTACAAAGGACCCCATACTTATTAGCAGTCACTCCCTTCCCCTGTCCCTGATCCCTGGCAACTAGTAATCTACCAGTCATTTCACATACATGGAAGCATGCAACGCATGACCTTTTTTGTCTGGCTTTTTTCATTAGTGGCTGATGCTTTAATGCAAAATGAAACAACCTGTAGTGAAAGGCAGAATACATCAATACAGGGTATTTTTTTCTCTTTATAAAAGTATCACATATTGATTGTGGAATATTAAGAAGATTTGAACACGCAAAAAGAATTCAATTGAAAACACCTAAAATTCCATTACCCAGAGAAAATCATCTGTAATACTCTCCTTCTGTATATACACAAACATTTTTTAAAAATTAGGCTTATATTATACATTGCACATTCTGTTTTACTTTTTGATTTAATAAAAATAGTAAACACCTTCCCATTCCATTCAATACCTTAAATGTCATATACTCCTATAGCCAGAGTGTGCTATTAGTAGCCTTAGTGCCTATTAACGGGCTCACCTTGGAAGGTGTCAGGCTGCCCCCGGATCAGAAGACCACACCGGAGTGGACTGAGCAGACCTCAGTCAAGGGTTATTTTTAAAACATGGCCTCCTGAGAGGTGGGGGACATTGAGGAAAGGTAGAGATAATCCAACCCCGCTCATCAAAACAGAGCGCTGAGTTCTGGCTCCCCCATTCAGGGTCCAGCTGTGTGTCCTTGAGCAAACTGCTTAAGTTCTCTGTGCCTCAATGTTCCCATCTGTAAACCTGGGGTTAAAAAATGCACTTAGCTCAAAAAGTTGATTTAAAAATTAATCTCACACCCATAGGGGCCTGGCACATAGCAAGTACCCCCCAAGTATGAACTATTATTATTACTCTGCATTCCCATACTTCCACTTACTTGGCTTATCCCCACCATAGCATTTGGCATGCTCAATTTTAACTGTCTCCTATCTGTTTTCCTATATAGACTGAAGTCAGGGACTGCATCTTATTCAACATTATATCTCCCCACACTTAATATAGTATCTGGCATGTAGTAAGTGTTCCAGAAATATTATATGAGATTTGAGAGAATGAATAAATGGATAAGTGGACAGATGGAGAGATGAATGAACTGCTAATCCAGGATTCTGAACTGTTTGAGATAACCAGCATTTCCTTGAGCTGATAGCATATTTTTTTCTTTGGCTAAAATTAGGTTTTCATTGGCCCACAGTGCATATATGCAGTGTACACATGTGTGATGTCTGTGAGAGAGACTTGTAGCTCTCTCTGCATACCATTCTGCCTTTGCTCCCTTCTTCCAGTGCTTGCTTCTTCCAACCAGAAAAGAATTGCTAATACGACTCATCAGAGTTCATACGGCCCACAACTGGGTCCCAGGGGGACTACTGTGTCTTTTAAAGGCCATCTTCACCCATGTGTCACATCCCCATCTGATTCCCTCCCCGCTGCACCACCGAGGAGGTCAATGGACTCCATCTGCCTTCGATGACCCTGCCAACTCTCTCCCCAGGCCATTAGGGGCAAGCCATTAAAAACCAGTTTGGTGATTAAGATGAGCAAGGCTATGTTAAAAAGACACCAAGCAGCTCACAGAACTGCCCGAATGGTAAGAGAACCAAGGTCAGAGCTAACAGCCTAGAAATGCACTAAAAGACAGAGCCAACTTGCTCCATGAGGGCCCCGGTACTGCTGGACGTCAGCACCACCATTCCCACCCCTGGGCCTCCCAGGTGGCACAGTGGTAAAGCATCCGCCTGCCAATGCAGGAGATACCAGAGACGCGGGTTCGATCCCCGGGTCAGGAAGATCCCTTGGAAGAGGGAATGGCAACCCACTCCAGTATCCTTGCCCGGAAAATCCCCATGGACAGAGGAACCTGGCAGGCTACAGTCCATGGGGTCACAAAAAGTTGGACATGACTGAGCACACACACTCACGTGGCACCACCAGGCCCCTGGACATTGATCCTCGTGCAATTACTGCCATCACAGGAGAAAGAATAATTGTCCATCATGATGACAAAAGTGATAGAAATTCTAAAACCAGGCAGAGATCCCGGTTCTCACCTTTGAGACGGACAAAATTCCAAAATGACACATTCTGTTGCAAGACTTCGGGAAAAGAATACTCTCATGGATGGCTGCTGTAAACGCCAAATGCATGGAGGAGAATTTGGCAAAGGCTGGAAAATGACATATGCACCTCCCTTTGACTCAGCAATCCTTCTTCCAGGAGCCTATCCCAGAGATATGCTGCAAAAATACTAGCTGATATATGCCTGAGGCTATTCACTACAGTAGTATTTATAACAGCAAAAAGCTAGAAACAATCCAAATACTCATAAACTATGGTAATCCACAGTTTATGATGCACAATGCACTTATGTGCAACTGTAAAAAGAAGTGGGAAAAAATGGCTTTATACTGTCAGTGAGCAACCTCCAGCATATATTGTTAAGAGAGAAAAAAGCAAGGTAGTCAGCAGTATTTATGGCATGCTGTCTTTTGTGCATGAAGGGGAAAGACACATAAATGCATACACAGATTTGCTTCTATTGTCAAATATAAACCTACCTACATATCAAGCAAGTAGGTTTCAAGTAGGTGGTATAACACCATAGATAAAAGAACTACAAATGACTTTAAAACATAGTATTTTGACTCTATAACCTAATGAGATATATTCTAAGGTGAATAAAAACCATAAGCATCAGTGCTTTTATTACTAACACCTATAATGCTCTAGTGTGGCTTTGTACAAATTTAAGAAAAAGGGAGTAAGTGATTGGTTTAGTATTATTAGGACACAGGATTTTCACCACAAAAAAAAAGACATACAAATACATAATCCAAGATGTTAATTAACAACCTTGGAATGTTACATTTGAACTTGAGTAGCAGTAAAAACATTTAAAAAATGCACATTTCCCAGTTCTAGACACTTAAGAAAACAAACAAAACCCTGTAGCAATGACAGTCCAACACAAGGAACACCTCAGGTGACCAAATCATGGTCTCAAACCAGAGTTCCTTGGAAAAATGGCTGATTCCAGATCTGGGGCAAAAAACAGACAAGAAGAAATCAAGAAGTCTTCAGAATCAGTGTGGTCATGCCAGATGAACACGGAACCCATTATCATAAGATGGGATGTGTGCATTAAAATAAATAATGACTGAAACAGATTAAACCACATAAATAAATAAAAATGCCTGAGTTCATAAAGACACACACACACACACACACAGAGAAACCTCTTTGATCACCGATAGGGACTGCTGGAACATCAATTCACTATTTTTGAAAATAAAATTTTTTAAAAAGTCTTTATCTAGTTCTTTTTTTCAGGGTACCCATATGGTTAGTGTGGAACAGCTCTTCACTACTCAGTTGAGAAGACCCTTCCTAGCATCAGTTAAGGTAGGTGCCTTCTGTATTGATGTAATAAGTTGTTGGGTGCAGGTGTGGCAGATATTGATGGCCTTCTATAAGATGCAATATGAAGCATACAACACTCCTATGATGTTCCCTTACTTACCCCATGACCTCATGCCATCTCGTAAAGCCAAAGCCACCCCCCGCCCCCCACTGCCACACAACAGTAATTGTTAGCCTTTTGAAAGTATTGAAAGTTCAGACTTCTGTACCTCTGCCAAGGACCTCTAGTCAGGAGACCCTGACTTAGCGCTCAGATTTTCCTTAGAAAATCTAGAGGCACTGCTCAACTATTTCTCTGCAAACCCTACTCAGGATCAGGGAATTGGAACAACGGGTTTCTTTTCTGGATCAAATGTGCAAGGGTCATGCTGAGGTCATTTCTATTTTAAAGTTCAGCATTACTCTTTTCCAAGAAGGAAGATGGTTTAGACGTAACACCTGTATACTTGAGCCCTGTTTTCTCTCCTCTTCTATTACTTTCCCCAAAAGAAAGTTCCTGGTAGTAATGAGCATCATTCTCTGTGTTTGTAAAAGAAGGGGAGAGGCAGAAATGGGAGAAGTTCCCAAAGCCTATTTTTGACATCCTTTTAGTCTTCAGTGTAAGGAAAGTGTATTTGAAATTCTCTACATCCTCTGTTTGAGCAGGCCTAGAAGGGAAAAGGACTCACAAGGCAGCAGATATGAAAGCACCAAGAAACCATTCAGTGAGCTGCTAATCACACCAGAAGCACATTAAGAGGGAAACTCAGTGTCCACACGGCTCTCAGCAGACAGGCACTTCAGCGAAGGAAAATCACTGTCTCCTCTGTGGTGGGGGCCGGGGAAGCGGGGGTTTGGGGGAAGGCAAGTCTAGCTTGATGTAAAGGCAAATGAATGGGCACCGTGACCTGGGATGGCCCCATCTCATCTAGGATGCTCTCATGTCACTGGATGCTGTGGTGGTACATGCATGCTCAGTCCGATTCTTTGTGATCCCAAGAACTGTAGCCCACCAAGCTCCTCCGTCCATGGGACTTTCCTGGCAAGAATACATATTCCTGGGACCAGTTCCCAAATATCCATCTCCCAAATGCCCAAGCATCATCTTTGACTTCTGCTCTTCCCTTCCCTTCCAACCAACTCCAAACTGCCATCAACTCCACTCTCTAATCGCTCTCAGACCCCTCCACCTCTCCCCTTGCACAGGGTTTCTGTTCATCAGGGTCTCCATTATTCTTCCCCTACCTCTGATCATGCCCTTCCTCCAATCTTTCCTCCATACTGCGGCTGAAAGGAAAATCAACTTTCATCTCTTTACTAAAAGATCTCCAAGTGTTACATAAAACATCTTCAGGATATAGCTTAAACATCATAGTACAGCCTGCAGAGCCCTTCAGCATCGCATGCATGTTCTCTCCTTGATCTTTTGTCTGTCTCTCTCCAGGTTTCCCATCATACACATACACACACACACACACACACACGCACACACACGCCTCCAGCCAGACTAAGCTATTTGCAGTTCCCTAAACTCCATGCTTCCTCTTGCCATGGGGCCTTAGCACATGCTATTCTCTATGGCCTGACCTCTACTAGATTCTCTTCCTGCTCTTCAGTTTGCTGCCTGCATCTTCAGGACGTATATCACCCCCTCTAATATGTCACCTACCCCCGTCCCCCAGGCTCCCATGGCACCCGTGTTCTCTATCACAGCACCTCCCATGATACGTTACAGCTACCTATTTACTCTTCCATCTCCCCCACCAGGCTGCAAGTTCTAGAAATGCCAGCAATGTCTCTTTCTAAAGCTCTGTGTTCCCAGTACTTGCCATAGAATATAGGGGCTGCACAGTCTGTTTGTTCAATGAATGAATAAGTAGATGAATCCACAGCTTTGTAAGTTTGGCACTGAAAAGGGCACTAACTCCTCCAGTCCCTCCGCCTGTAGTTAGAGTGGGTGGAGTTATGCCACTTTTAATCATCATGGCATCACAACCCCTGATGTCTACCTGTCAGAATTCAAGGGTTCTGCCAGCTTCCATCAGTGACCTCAGAAAACACGGAGGCGACCTGAGGTCTCCCAGCGCACACTCACCTGGGTGAATCAGGCAGGAGTCACATTCATTCTCCTCGTTCCTGCAGCACGGGATGGTATAACCCACCACTTCCTTCTTTCCAGGGCACTCACATTTAATCTGATCGTATTCACAGCACTCCCGACACATGATATTCCACTCAGCTCCAGGGCAGGCTTCATTAATGACTGTGTACTCTGAAACAGAAAGCAGCAAGTGAGGATGGAGGGCCTGGCAGGAATAGGAAAGACCCAGAAGTTCTCTACTGCCAAGAAGCACTTTGCCCTACAACCTGCCCGAAGGATGTTCAAAACCATCCAGTGGGGCACAGGTGAAATTTGTTATTTCAAATTTCAAAGGTGCTATTCATTTTTATTTTTAATAAAAAAGAAATCATGTTTTATCAATATAGAATCTAAGTGGATTAACACACGTACACATAAACCACTAAAAGCATACATTTCCTGCATGTCTAGGTTTATTTCTATTTTTGCTAGGGTATATCAGACCACTGCTTACAGCTACACAGGTTGCGCACTGCATAATTCCAGAAGGAACCATCCAACTACAAAGCTGCATAGCACAGTCCAGCATTTAGGCCATCAAAAGAGTCTGGTGACCACTCTCTAGGCTAGTTCTATCAAGTACAAGGCTGAATGCCAAGTAGAGACCATGTCATTTCCTCCAAACTTGGCTCCTGGATTTTGTAGCAAGCCATTTTTATGGTATTTTCAAAGCTAAAACCAGCAGAAAAGACAAAAAGTATCTTAATTAGTATGTTTGGGAGAATTTCAATGTTTTACAAGAGGGAACTCATTGGCAGAACTTCATTCAATCCCCCAATACAACTGAGTGCTCTTTCCCATGAGAAAACAGGACTCCTTTCTGGAGAGAATTTCTCTCTTTTTTCCTAAAATATATCTTAGGTAAATGAAAAAGAAAAACCATCTGGCAAAAACTATAAGAGTAATCAGTTGGAGGTTGCCCAGAGGAATCCAGGCTAAGAAACAGACCTCACTTTGATTTCCTCTTGCTCCTGCCCCAACTCTCTAGTCCTAAAAAATTTTGCACTAAGATGATGACTGAAGCAGAAATAGGTCAGATATTTGAGGAAGAAAGTGAATCTGGCTTCCCTGTGAAGACTTCCCTAAAAACCCTAGGCCAGGACCCTCATCAAACTTTTGTAGACCCATGTAAACCAACTCTAAAACCTATGGTGGCTTCTAACCTCTTAAATTTCATAGCTTAGTTTTCCGTTTTCCTCCCCTAAATTTGGAAGTCTGACAAAGAGCAGATCATTCTTTATTTGCCAAGTAGAGCCATATAGAAAAACTCTCACCATCTTCTCTCAGCCTCTGGTTATAAGAACATTCTAGCATCATAGAAAGGAACCACGTGCATGATAAGGGATAGTTTCTTAGAATGAATGCATGAAGTTTTATGAAAAAAATTCCTCACTTCTTCCCCACAAACACCAGTAGGGCAGCAAAGATCCTCATGCTGGCGCCTGGGAACAACTGGCTTCGATCACTATGATATTGTCACCGCTGGAATTTTGTTTCCTGAACTATTCTGTGAGCTCCTCTCGGACAGACACTAAAACTTACTCAGCTGAGCTTCTCATGTTTCGATTCTGGTGGGATGAAGTGAATACTTTTCAAAATCTAGAAGAGAACTTAATGGTTAAAAGTGAAGGAAAGTGGAAGAAAACATAGGAGTAAGTCTCCATGACCCTTGACTTGGTATGATCTTGGATTCTTAGGCATGACACACAAAAAACCAGAAGATAAACAGATAAATTGGATTCATCAAAACTAAAAACTTTTGTGCAACAAAGTGCATTCTTAAGAGAGTGAAAGGACAACTTAAAAATGGGAAATTTTGCAAATCATATATCTGATAAGGATTTAATACTCAAAACATATAAAAGACCCCTTCAAATCAACCACAAAAACCCAAACAACCCAATTTTAAAATGGGCAAATGGCATGAATAGATGTTTCTCCAGAAAAAATATACAAATGGCCAATAAACACATGAAAAGATGCTCAATACCACAAGTCACTAGGGAATTGAAAATCAAAGCCACAACAAGATAACACGTTACACATACTAGGATGGCTATAATTAAAAAAAAAGAAAAGGAAAATAACAAGTGTTGACAAAAATGTAGAGAAGCTGGAATCCTCGAATATTGCTCAAGGGAATGTAAAATGGTGCAGCTTCTGTGGAAACCAGTTTGACAGTTCCTTCAAAAGCTAAACATTGAATTAACATGCAGCTCAGCAATTCTACTCCTAGGTGTACACCCCCAAAATCAAAATTAGAAAGTGAAACGGATACTTGCAGCATTATTCACAATAGACAAAGGGCAGAAACAACCCAAGTGTCCACCAAGAGATAAGTGAATAAGCAAGAAGTGGTGTATGCACACAGTACTTTGGGTGTGGAATATTGTTCAGCCATGGAAAGGAACAAGATGCTGATGCAAATTACGATAAGGACAAACCTTGCCAACATACTAAGAGGCCAGACACAAAAGTGGCAATCCCACTGAATTGTATGCTTAAAATGGCTAATGTAGCAAATTTTATGTTATTTTTATTATACTTTTAATGTTAAAACATAGTGAGAGAAATCAAAATGCTTTTAAAGGCTTAAGCATCAGAGTCAGACAGATCTGGGTTTGGAATCCCACCTCTGCTACTTACAGGGTGTATGATCTTGGCTGAGTTAGTTTACTCACTCAGTCTCAGTTTATCATCCAATGAAACGAATTCATTGTATAAAACTCAGGAGCTAGCTGAAAGGACTAGATAAGACAATGTATATAAAGAGTTTATCAGAGTACTTAGTATATAATGAACATTCAATAGCTATCAGCTTAAGAAGAAAGATACTATAACTCCATATTTCTCAAGGATCTCATCTGTTGAATATACCACATATCAACTCCTTACATAAAATGTTTCTGTTGTTTCCAACTGCATTTGGAGCAAACCTTAAATGCTCTGGTATGGTTCCCAAGGCTTTTGAGAGCTGCTCTCTCCTGAGTCCTACAGCCTTTCCTTGGTGACTATATTCCACCTTCTATTTCTCAAAGCCACAAAGGCCTTGCTCATCCCGGGGCCTTCACACATGCTTTCCCCACTGCCTCTATCAAAACATTGGGCTTCAGTGTAAATGACACCTATTGAGAACGGTCCTCACTGACTTTCTCATCTGAAATTTGTGCCTCTGCTCATCCTTCTATAGTATTCTCTACCAGAGCATCCCAGTTGCTTGCTTTCGCAGCCTTTACCACAATGTATAATCCCTTTCTGTGTTTCCACCCACTGGTATGTCATCTGTCTCCCTCACATGACCATAAGCTGGCAGGAACCTCACCTGATTTGTCCACCATAGATAGGGATGGGCCTGGCATGCAAGAGACACTGGATAAATCCCTGTTGAATGAATCAGCCTCCACTCTAGAGCTTCAATAGTCAAGGATTTTCATCGAGTGGGTCCAGCTCGGAGCGATGAGCCAGGAGAGCTTGTTCTGCTCAATAATTTGCTGTTCTCAAACAGGGGCAGTTTCCCTCCCATGATGAAGGGTGTAGAACAACTGGTTCAGGTTATCTAACTTGGGTCCCAATCCCTTGGCGCCAGCCCCGGCCTTATCCAGTAGTATGATTTCTCAACTCTCTGAACATCTGACATGCCTGTGGGGTGTGGCTCACGTCTATCCCTCCCTTTGCTCATCTGAGGGCAAATACTCCATCTTTCCAGGTTTTCTAAGAATTTACAAATATTGATGATTCCTGGGGGACACTGACAGAATAAAAATTACTTGCAACTTTTGTAAGTCTTGTACTTAAATGTGGAAAGCCAAGCAAGGTTTGCTCCACAGCAGCAGAGGGTGGAGCCTGTTTTTCCTAAAGCAGCAGGCTAGTCAAGCCATGAATATTGCGGGCCTCCCTTTACCCAAGAAATTAATTTCCTAAAATGCCTTCACTGGCATTTCTTTTTATTTCAATGAACAAGTCCACCTCTGCCCTCCCTAGCACATACATTAATTTTATAGGTACAGTCCAGAATATTGTATCATCTTAGCCAAAGGGAATGACTCCAGGGAAGTCCATTTCTATACTGTCTGCCAAGTCAGCCAGCTGGCTCCTTCCCAAGCAGTCTGTCTGGAAGACAGAAAAACAGCCCCAAAGATGTCCATATCTTCACCTCCAGGACCAATGGAAATGTGACCTCACATGACAAAAGGAATTTTGTCAATGTGACAAATCTAAGGATCCTGAAATGGGGAGAGGATGATGGGGGCTTGTCCAGGTAGGACAAATGTAACCTCAAAGATCTTTATAAACGGGAGGCAGGAGGGTCAGAGTCAGAATAGAGGTGTGACAACAGCAGCATTAGACAGATCAGAGAGCTGTGCTTTCGAGATCGAAGAAGGGACCACAGCTGAAAGAACACAGGCAGCCTGCAGAAGCCGGACGAGGAAAGGAAACAGCTTCTCCCCTACAGCATCCAAAGAAGGCAGGCCTTCCATCACCCTGAGTTCGGCCTCCTAAGGCTCACTGCAGCCCATTGAGCTCCAGAACTGTACAAAAATACAACTGCACTGTTTTAAGTCACTAAGTTTGTGGTAATGTTACATCATCCACAGGGAACTTAACACCCCATGTCTTCTCAAAAGAAAGGTTAACCCAGGGCCAGTCATTTAACCACTCTGGTCCTCAGTATTCCCTCTGAGCACAGTGCCAAGACTGAGGGTGAACCAATGAGTTCATTCTTTCATCCCACAAGTGCTTACTGAGCGTCCGCCACGTCCCAGGTAGGAGGCTGAGTGCTGGGATACAATGGAGAGGAGAACAGACACCATCCCCATGGAGTTTCATGGAGAAGCAGACGTTGGATGAACTCACAGCTTCATAGAAGAGTAGACTTTGGATGAAGGACCTCACACACACAGAATCACTCACTGTGACGAGGAAACTAACAACGCAAAGAGGACAAATGGATGGTCATGGAGGGATATTAGCACCACATCTACAGGACTATAGGGTTAAGGGGGGTTAAATAAAATAAATAAAAGTCTATCATTTGCCAAGATAAGATCACTTCCCAGGAATATGGAAGTGAGGGAGGAGGAAGAGACAGTGTTAATGGTGTTATTGACTCAGCCCCTCTGGTTTGGTA